GACCAAACAAAACATTGGTTTAAGCAAAATAAACCAATACACCTTTCAACCAAAATTTAATAAGTATTACTTAATAGAATTCATTTCTGTTGAGAATTTGGATAAAACAAGGACAATTGGTACAATTAACTTGTCAAATAATCAGTACTATTGGATGTGCAAAAATCAGTGAAAATAATATTTCAGAACATAATCAATTGTTTGAAGTCCCAATATTCAGCAATATGTACCATCTTAGTTTGCAAATTCACTAAACATTCAATTCTTGTTACATTGTCATGAAAATTTTTAGATGTGAACTAGACATATATGGGTACCATTTTGCAAAATTTCATGATTTTAAAAGAGATGTGAACTAGACAATTCTTGTTACATTTGAAAAGAGATGTGTTGCAGAAACTGCAAAAAATCTGCAATGCAAACCTGAGATTAAAAATTCACTAAACTGACACACCCTGACCAAAATCAAGGCGTGCTGACCGTCACGTGAGGGTGACGTAGCCATGTGCACAATGCGGAAACAATATTAATATAAGAAATGCGAATAAATAAAAACCAAACTAACTAGAGCACTAGATAAGAATAAGTGCAAGATGAAACTAAGTGTGAATTCACAACTAGAGCATAAGTAGCCTAAGTGTAGTCCAGCAGGACGAATACTAATTATACAACACCAAAGGTAATCCTACAATGGTGATAATCGGTCAGAGCTGCCGTGCATTCCTCGTAAGCTACCAAAAAGCATTCTTAACTAGAACATGGAGGGGCGCAAAACAGAAAGTGTGAGTGGGCAAAAACAAAGCTTTTCAAAACCAGTTCAATTATCAAAGATAGTAACCCCTCGCTGTAAAACCTATATAATTTCCCAGAAAATAGAATACATATCTATACCACAACCATGCTCAGAATAGAAAAATCCACATATATGCCATGTCGAATATCTCAGCATAAAAATATGTAAACTAGGTGATATAAATCAATGCAAAATGATATGTCAGCCGGAGTCACCTAACGTAACCTGTACGGCTGAATCTATAGCTCATCCATCTAGCCGGAGTCACCTAACGTGACCTGTATGGCTTAAATCCACATCTCAACAAATATATCTGCACATGAGTCGGAACCACCTAAAATGGTCTGTACGACAGGACTATGCACCTAACTTGGATCCAAGGTGATCATAAGGTGCGGGAGGTGAACATCACGTGAAGGACTGTGCCCTAACCACGGGCAGGAGCACTAACATCGGGGTGCAGGTTTATGAGCTCTCAACACATCTCACATAATCATCAATACATAAACAATCTACAACTCACTTGGTACTTACCTGAGCGTCCACAGCGTCAAATCACATTTATGCATACTATATTAATTCAATGAACTACGTATAAATCAATATGCATGGCATTTCTAAACACAATTTCATTTAAATCGATTTTTTGAGAAAAATCTCAAGTATATAGGTATATATGGAAAACCAAAAGCCCACTCACTGGTATGTGGAAGGGTCGTAGCCCCTAAGCCTCGATTGACTACACTCATCCTGAGGATAGGTCTCAACTTTATGCGAAACAACTATATAAACATTAATTGAAAGCACATAAACGAAACTAGCTAATAACTTCTCATACATTGCTCAAATGAGGTGTTTGAATATACCAACGTGATCTACTCAACACCAGGAACATCCCCATATTTTTAGAAAAAATTTCCGACCACCCACACGCTGGCCAAGGCACGACCATACGCGCCCCCACGCACGGCTAACCCTAACGGAACAGTTAACGGCAGTTAGGAATATTTCGTTAAAACCTGAACAGAAGTTAACGACGTTACCTGACGCCGTTAGAATATTCCGTCAACTCTGATGGAATATTTGTCTCCTTCTTCGATGAGCCTCGCTGGTCGCCGCCGTCTGAAACTCGAATTTTCGCCGGTTTCTGGAAAATCTTTAAAACTTCATATCACTCTCATTTCTTAACCAAAATCCATAAAATTTGTACAAAATGAAGCTTACAACGAGTAGAACAAAACCTTACCACTTTTATGACTTAAATCCAATGGGTTCTCGTTGGAAAAACCCACGATAATCCGGCCACCACTGCAACTCCCCAAAACTAAGCTTCCCGACGTACCAAAACACTCCAACTTTCTTCCTCGAGCTTCATGAAGACGTCTTAAAACTCCCTAAAACCTTAAAACTCGAAGAAAAGTCCACGATCACTGACTGTATGAACAGTAACCCAAAACTGGGTTATCTGGTTTTACGAGCTCTCACGTCGAACTAAGGGTATGGATGAGCTCCTGAGCTCACAAAGAACACAAAAGCAACCTCCTTGACGTCGATCCATGTAAAATGAAGCTAGTTTGAAGAGTGACCGTACAACTTGTACGGACAATGGATGAAATTTGAGAGAATGAGAGAGAGAGGGTCAACGGGAGAGGTTTGGGTGTGTGTGCGTGTGGTCCTAGTGGGTCACCAACCAAAAACAAAAGAAAATAAAACCTAAGTCCTAAGTAGTTCCAAAAGTATAGGAAAGTTAGGAATTGGACCACAACCAAAAACATATCACACACAACACATCTCAACATCCAAGGGCAATTAAGTCATTTCCTTACTCTCGACGATAAAATAATATACACCTTCGGGACGGGCTGTGACAAAATACTCCTTTTTCATTCAATGTGCATAAAAATTTTCAGATATAAAGTAGACATACAATGCTACTATTTCCTATAATTTTATAATTTTTGAGGTTTGACAAGTATACAATGCTACTATTTCCTATAATTTTCAGATATAAAGTAGACATACAATGCTACTATTTCCTATAATTTTATAATTTTAAAATTTTCAGATATAAAGTAGACATACAATGCTACTATTTCCTATAATTTTATAATTTTTGAGGTTTGACAAGCAATTTCAAAATGGGATATGCTGCAGAAAGTGCAGAAAATCTGCAGTACAACTGAGATGAAAATTTGACTAAACATTCATTTTCCATTCAATGTGTATGAAAATTTCCAGAAGTGAAGTAGATACATAAAGCTGAAATATCACAAAATTTCATAATTTTTGAGATTTTACAAGTGGGCCAAAAATAAAATCGAAATAGAATGTGTTACAGAAACTGTAGAAATTCCGCACCACATACCTGAGACTAAAACAAAATTCACCAATAATTCATTTTGCAGCCAATTGTCATGCAAATTTCCAGATTTAAACTAGATATATCAATCTATATCATACACAAATTTCATGAATTTAGGAGTTGAATACGTATATCAAAATAATATCACAAACAAACAATGTTGCAGAAATTTGAAAATTTTCAGTAGCATAATCTCCTTTTTAAATTTTACAATAATTTCATTTCATGCCAAAATGACGTGAGAACTTGTAATTATAAAAATCACATACTAACATAGCATGATAAAATAACCTTTAGCATGTCCATAATGTATCAAAATCTCCCTTTAAGATAAGAACATAATTCAAAAAGGGCAACCAAAAACGCCCAGTCATTAGTGTGTGTATTTGAGAAATTTCCCAAGCCAATCTTGATATTAATCATGTTAAAAAATAATAATAGTTAAATCAAATTATTTAGATGCATATGTGTTAAGCCTTCGAACTTTAAATCCAATGCAAAATTATTATTAATTATACTTATCTGTAGACAAAAATAATACAACTACACGCAGAAGTAATTTCTGCAGATGGGTCAGATTAAAAATAATAATAATAACATCTAAATAATTATTTGCAAAGCCAACATGATAATCAATCCACGTATTGAATTATCAGCAATTAAATCAATGAATCATATTATTCGCAGAAGCTTTACACATTGTAAAGGATAAAAAGTGATGGCATGATATTAGAACGTTACCATTATATTCAAAACAAACCGTGATCGAAATTCTGAATCCTAGACGAGTTGAGAGGCTCTGATACCATATGTAAGAGGTAATTGAAAAACAACAAGTTACTAGGATCATAGATAAAACATTAAATAAACCAATCAAACAATTAGGGGAAATAAACTTGTCTTCCAAAGCAGAGGAAGAACATGCCATGATCGCCAGGGTTTTAAAAGGAGTCTTCTACACTCAAGCAGCCGAGAATCATTGCTATCAAATAGGGTTTTTAGCATGAGACATGATAATAACTGTGAGTGTAGGGACCTCCTAATATATAGATGCTCATCCCTTTAATCCGGCCTAATCGCGGATTAAAGGGATATTTGAAATCAATTAGGATTTCATTATAGTCCTAAATGATAACAAATTCTTTGTCAACTAATTAAGGTTTTCATGATTAATTGCACTAAATAAGAACTCCTAAACCTAACCAAATAAGGCTCCATAATTTTCTCAACTATTAACTCGGATTGACCAAGTTAGTTGTATGTCAAGAAACAATGAGCACATGTTTTATGACACTCACAACTTACATGACACTGCACCAAATGCTTTGCTATTTTTATCTTACTTAGTCTAAGCCAAGTTAGTCCAATTTAGTCCCTGAAACTAGTTTAGTCCAAGATAGTCCAGCGCAACAAACACACCTATAAGGTACTAATAAAAAACATTATCAATTATTTTATTCTTTTCTACGGTCTCATTTATTCAATTACGATAATGTTAAAGAGACTGAAATTTTAAACCAATTTATCCGTCATTAGAAATAAGTACGTTAATTGATTCTTAATTAATAATCAAACCATCAACAATCACAACACAATTTAATTTAAAATTTTAATTTCTATATCATTACATGTATTCAATAAACTTCGCTTTCAGTACGGCAATAAAAAGGCCCCTAGAATTGCCAACTAGATGGCGAGTCGGAAGACCCTTCGCATAAACCAAGGGCCTATCAGTCTTTTCGCAACCCTTCCCCACACGCGTCAAGCCACGATAGGACAGACCTACTTTTTCTTTTCCCCGTTGTCACGCATGACATGCCCTCCATGATGATATTTACTATTTAGGCAGGAAGAGGGAGGCGGATGAAAGAGAAGCCTCAGCCACCACTGTCTCCGTACTCCGTAGCAAAAGCCCTCCAGCTCCAAAGCACACACCAAACACCGGAGAGCAATCAGTCCTCCATTTTCTGCCATAGTCGGAGCAACTCAGCTCACTTTCTGCAACAGCAATGGTCAGCATCTCTCTCCTGCTTCTCTTTCCCTGCCCATTGCTTTTGTTTTTATTTATTTATTTTTGTCTTTTTTTTTTAATGTTTAATGTGTTTTGGGTTATGATCTTTGATCTCTGAGTTTATCATCTGTGATGGGTTTTAGATGCACTTGTTTCAATCGATTGTAATTTGTTGTGGATCTGAATTTGGGTTTTTGTATCATTTAATTTACAGTAGCTGAAGATATTTGCTTAAAGTTTTAAAATTTTCTTTTGATTTTTGGTTCATAAAATAATTTTGATCACATTCACATATATTCTTCGTTTGTTGAGTTTTGGGTATTTTTATTTTGGTTCTTTGTGGTGGGTTTGTGGGTTCTTTTATGTTTGGTATTTTGGTAATCTGATTGTGTTGGTGTTGGTGGCAAACTGGCAATGTTGTCATGTTGATTGTGAAATTTGAACCAAGTTGCGTTGCACCGATCCCATTAGTCTAACAATTGATGTGGGTGTCAATATTTAGATACCTCGAGATTTAAATCTGATTAGAAAGCTGTTAATTGATCGAGAGTTGGGATTCAAGTGCTCGGTATTGGAATATTGTCAACCAGCTGATCACTGATCAGAACTAATTGGAGCGGTCCAATTTGATTCCTTACGGATGTTGCGATGCTGAATTGTATTTGATCTTAATCTTGGACGCATCAGAAAGGAGACTGTAGTCTACGATTGAAGCTAAAGTAAAGAAGAAAAGTACCTCAAGTAGTCTTATTCCTTTTTTGTTCATTTGTTATGCTAAAACTGGCACGTTCTTGGTTTCTCGGTTTCAGATTGCTGGTTGATTCCTGTTTAGTTTAGATATCTAATCTCTAACCAACCTGCATAGTACAGGCTTAACTTGAAAGATTCAAGTTGAATCCTGTATCATTACGCACTACTTTTTAAGAAATTGGGTGAGACAGAACATCTAGAATGGGAGAGAAAGAGGGAGAGAAAAAAGAGGAGGAAGGATGGGAGGGAAGGAGGTTTCAGACTTTGAAATTCTTTTCAAAATCAGTCCGCCTTTTTTATTCGCCTGACCAAACCTCAAGGATCGGAAAATCTCTAGAATAGTCTCTTAGGATCTCCATCGGATGTTTTATAATGATCATTGCATCCAAGTTGTCTTCCTTTTGTGACCGGAAAACTTGCAACCTTTGTCGCCCGTTTGATAACCATTTTGTTTTTAGTTTTTAGTTTTCATTTTTTGTGGTAAGGTAGAGGGTGAGTATACAGGAGAAATGAGGAATGTAAAGGATGAAAGAAGGTGGTGGGAGGGGTGATGGGAGGGGGAGAAAAGAAGGAGATTATATGAAAACAAAACTTGACAGCGAAAACAACTTCGAAATTGTTTTCAGTTTCGATTGTGTGCCATTACATACACATCCCTTCACATTTGTTCCACTTTCCCACGTTGACCCTCGATCCTCCTTTCTCCCGCATACTTCTCTATCTATCTGTAGAACTAAAATTGGTTATTAAACGGGCCCTTAGATTCAAGGAGAGGCACTGTGGCATTTTAATATCTGATTCCGTTGTTTGATAACTTTGGCACAACATTGTAGATATTATTTAATTGTTTTCTTGAGAATTTCTGAGCTTTATTTTTTTTGGCTGAGTAGGAGAGTGAACGCATGTTTATTGTTTCAAAACCAGTGTGTGTTGGTTTTGTGGAAATAAGTTGCATAAGAATAACATGTATCTTCTGTTTCATCATATGATCAGGCTAACGCAGCGTCCGGATTTGCTGTGAATGATGACTGCAAGCTGAAGTTTCTGGAATTGAAGGCTAAGAGAACATACCGCTTCATAGTGTTCAAGATTGACGAGAAGAAAAATGAGGTGATTGTGGAGAAACTCGGTCAGCCAGCTGAAAGCTATGAAGACTTTACTGCAAACCTTCCTGATAATGAATGCAGATATGCTGTCTATGATTTTGACTTTGTGACTGTGGAGAATTGTCAGAAAAGCAGGATTTTCTTTGTCGGATGGTACTATTCTAACCTAAAAACGCGTCTCTCTTTTTTCCCATCGTTTTTGCTTATGTTCTTTACCATGTTCATAGGTCTCCCGACACAGCAAGGGTGAGAAACAAGATGATTTATGCAAGCTCCAAGGACAGGTTCAAGAGAGAATTGGACGGCATACAAGTCGAGCTGCAGGCTACTGATCCGACTGAGATAGGTCTCGATGTTATCAAAAGTCGTGCAAACTAAGAAGCTTGGTCTTGTTATGCCCGTTTTTCTCAAGCTCTGCTTTACTTTTATGTGAAATGTTCATAGTTTGTGGGGGTTGTGAACTTGACTAGATTATAATTCTCGGTTTGAATTTACCTTACAGTCTTTCTTCATTTTGAACGAGTCCGCAGGACTCAGTTATAGACGAGGTGAAGGAACTTATGCAATGTGTGTCCGTATGGTTACATCTAGAAGCTAAGTTGTATCATCCCCTGAAGGAAGAAAAACTGGGTTTGTTCTGTTAAACTTCAACGCGTCGTACTCTTTTTAAGAATGCAGAAAAGAGCTGTTATGCTGTTATTTTTGGTTCCGAAATCAGTTATTTTGTCATTCTTTTTGTGTGCCTATCTTACCATTTTGGTTCTTGTCATTCAGACGCTGGTTCAATACGTATGACTTTCTCTCTGAGCACATAGCCACCGGTTATTTTCCGAAAACCGGTGACTCATTCACTGTTTATGGAGAGATCCACCTGCATGTTGAGTTCATACAGATGATGAGCTCATATATTGTAGATTATAAACTCGCGGGTGGCTTCTCATGCCCTTGAGTTTGGCCAGGGCTATTCCCGGGTAGTTGTTTGTTCCCGTTCTTAGGCTAGTCGCTGTTGTACCAGGAGAACATAAGGAAAAATACGTGCAAGTGCATCTTATTTAGACTCAGTTCACCTTCTCTTAACTACCTACGCAACATAATTTCTACAAAAAACCGCATCATTTCTACAAAAAGCCGCATCTAAGGGATCGTAGATCATCTATGTGATACAAACATCGAGTGCGGCCAAATCAAATAGATGCAACTACAATTCCTGGTAAATCTTGTTAGAGATTTAAATGTACGTAAAACATGACAACAATAACTTACATACGGGCTTAGTTCGCGTTTTTGATGGACAGAACCTAACTATTAAGGCAAGTCCCACGGATGAATGTTATATGTAACTCGATTTGGCTTCAACCCTCTTCTCATCATGTCATAACGCAACTCTATCTAGCATAACATCCCACAGCTTGATTGCTTCTAGCAAATTGCCCCTCCTACACTACTCAGAGATAAATGTTAAATACGTGATACAATCTGGGTGAATACCATTGACTGTCATTTCGACGAGGAGCTATGAAGCTTCCTGAAACTTGCCCACTTTGCAAAAAGCCCTGATAAGTATACTGTACGTTTAGGTTTTGCACGGAAAAATATATTTTGAAGAACATGAATATGATAGTTTGTTGTTATGGTAAGAGAAACAAAAGTGAAACTAACAAAAATGTATGAAAATGTTCCAAATTCTTGCAGATGCCAAAATGTCACGTGTGCCATTTGCCACATGCCAGAATGACTACTCACATCCAACAGATTTTCTTTTGACTTTGGGCATTGTTGTTAAAACTTCACAGTGAGGTGAATATGAAAATAAATAGATTGAACAGTGATAGGGCTTCATGGAGCTTGTTTCTGCTCATGTGTCGAACCTTGGCTTGTAAAGCTTTTAGTTCTTCTTTGTAGGGCGCGAAGATGGTGATGGCCGCAACATGATAGTCCATACTATTTCAGCAACCTCCATGACCTTCTTCTCTATATTGGCAGCTTGAATTGTAGGGTGGAGTTGCTGGTTTTGCGTTGGGATTGGAGGTAAAAGCATGATGGAGGTGGTGATGACTGTTAGTTGGTATAGGCTATACTTTTCATGACCTTTATTGATTTTGGAGACAAAGTAACCCCTATTAAGTTTAACATATTTTAATTAGGGCTTAATGGATGTGACATTTTTAATAGGCTGGATACTTATTTAGAATGATAAAAAAGATTAAGATCAATTTGAAATGACACTAAAAAATTGGGTTTAAGTACTTAATCCTATAAAAAAATATAAACAATTGTTTTAATACAAAAACGATATTCTGTGTCAAAAAAATGCAAAATAAAAAAATAAAAAGAATACAAAAACGATATCATAGGAGTCAAATACAAAACCTCGAATACACATAAGGGAATACTGTTAATTCCTAAACTAAAAGGAATACATTAATACAAAAATCATTTTTTCCATAAATAATATGAAATTTCTCTTCAAAAAATTACTCATTCATGTGGTTCTATAAGCCGTGCAGCATCCTTGTAAGAGTGTCTCGAATGATATAGACAATTGAGTAAGTAAACTCATTTTGATGAGTTACGTATGCAAAAAATAATGAAAGTACAATTTTTGCTCATCTATGGAATTTATGAAACATTTTTCATGAGTCGAGTAAGTAAAATACCATGTCACTCATGGTCTATACCATTGGAAATGCTCTAAATTTCAACTTTCAAAATGAAAATTTCGTTGTCAAAAAAGATAAAATAAAAAGGGGCAATGCTGGAGAGACGAAAATGTTAAATCATTTTATAAACTAAATACAGTGGTTGTTGATAATTGAATTATTAACTTAATTATCGATTAACGTATTTATTTTTCATTGGTGATTCATCATTTGGTTTAAAAATTTTGTCCTATTAACATTATCCAAATAAGCAGTGCGATCGCCCATTTAGCGCAGCTCATCGATCCACACCCTTTGACCATTACCAATCATAACTCACCACGTATACAGCCTAATTAACAAGCAAAGCGCTCCTTTACGCTTCAATTCGAGCCGTCGATCTCCCAGTTTACTCCACCGCATCCAACGGGCACTTTTCGCCACGTCAGCGATCCGCGTCTGCCCCTTATCAACGACGTATTTAAATACCAGACCAAACCCACATTATCTGTTATCCCAGAGATTCCAAGTCCTCCCAATTTCGTCTTCTCAAAGTTTCCGTTTGGTTTCCGAGAAAGAAAAATCAAGAAGATTTCCGATGGCGCCTAAGGCTGAGAAGAAACCGGCCGAGAAGAAGCCCGCGGAGGAGAAAAAGTCCGCCGTGGCGGAGAAAGCACCCGCTGAGAAGAAGCCCAAGGCCGGGAAGAAGCTGCCGAAGGAGGCCGGAGCTGCTGCCGGAGACAAGAAGAAGAAGAGATCGAAGAAGAGCGTGGAGACCTACAAGATCTACATCTTCAAGGTGCTTAAGCAGGTCCACCCTGACATCGGGATCTCCAGCAAGGCCATGGGAATCATGAACAGCTTCATCAACGACATATTCGAGAAGCTCGCCCAGGAGTCGTCCAGGCTCGCGAGGTACAACAAGAAGCCGACGATTACTTCCCGGGAGATCCAGACGGCGGTGAGATTGGTGCTGCCTGGTGAGCTCGCTAAGCATGCGGTGTCTGAGGGGACTAAGGCGGTGACTAAGTTTACTAGCTCTTGAAGAGTTAGGGTTAATGGGTTTAATTCTGTGGATTTGGGTTTGAGATTGGTTGTGAAGGAATTAGGGTTAGGGTTAGGGGTTTATGGGTTTTAATGCTTTTGATTATGTAAGTATTAAGTACTGATCTTGTGCTATTGCAGTTTAAATTCTAAATGAAAGTACGATTTACCTAATTGATCCATTTCCTCTGTTAGTGTTTACCCATCTGATTATTTTCTGCAATTTCTGATTTAAGTTGGTATTTCTATTATTAATGATTTGATTAAGTTGGGAAAAGATGCTCAAATTTGCCCAAAATTATGTTGCAATATGTGGCCCATTTTTTTGTTCCATGATTCCTTCAAATCTTTTTGTTCTTCTGTCTTGTATGTTAGGGTTTTAATGCTTTTGATTATGCAAGTGTTAAACGAGTTCATTTTTGTTCATCACTTTTCGTATGGGAGAAGAAGTACGTTGTCGGATTGGTAAGTGCTTTTGCAAAAAGTGGATTAGCAGGATATGTTGGTATCCAGCCTTCCCGTGAATTGTGCTTTAATTCAGAAGCATTTTCCATAATACACATAATTGGGTGAATCTCTGCCGAATGTGAAGAGTTTGCACTCATCAGCATTGTTGTGAAGTAGGAATATGCATCCATCTAAATTTTGTAGGTTGCATGTGGTTAGGTGTGTTCCAAATCATGAATTTGGATGTATGCCTGAGGTGGTGTTTGTACCATGTATGCTGCAAAAGTAGTTTTATCCTTGTCTGTAGACATAATAAAGTGTTGGGTTTGGCCCTGGCCTGGCCTCTATATGCTGCATCATCTTGTTGTGTTTATTTTCCGATGTGACATGAACCTGATAGTATCAGAGATTTGCTCTGATACTAGTTTTGAGAAGCATCATTGGTGAGTATACTATATTACCACATGCTGTGTAATTTAGAGTCGGAGTTGTGACGTATATAAGCAATCTTACTAGTTTTATTCTAGCTCTGATACTAGTTTGGTTTCTGGTTTGTTGCTCCTCCTCATTTGCCTTCTGGTTGAGGCCTGAAAGTAAAAGACTGCTCCGAGGCAAGGCATAAGTGGTCGCTTCCTCAGTATTGGGAAGCTTTCTTGAAATAACGGTGTCAATGGCCCTCAGGGCAAATACAGGAAGAGAACTTGGCTGCTATTGACTGCTCTTTAACTCTATTTCCCATATTTCATACAGTAGCTGAGCCTGAGCGATCCGGTAACATATTTCATACCAGCAAAACCTTATTTTCGTTAATTTCCAGTTTATCTGTTTAATTGTTCGGCTTTAAGCAAATCGCACTTGCGCCTCTACATTTATCTGCTCATTGCTATATATATTTGCTGCTATAACCATTTGCCCATTTGCTTGATATATCCTAACTTTGTTGCTCATTACTAATGTAAAACCTGCTTTTCTGTTGATATATCCTAACCATTTGCCCATTTGCTTGATATATCCTAACTTTGTTGCTCGGTACTAATGTAAAACCTGCTTTTCTGTTGATATATCCTAACCATTTGCCCATTTGCTTGATATATCCTAACTTTGTTGCTTGTTATCTTCAGATCATTTAACTTGGGTAAACCTGCTTTTCTGTTGAAGGACTATCAGGAAGGTCCTCATTAAAACAAATGGTGCAGTTTGGTCTCACCAAAGAAACACGAGAGGTCCACAGTCCCCCGCTTTACAGGAACAAAGTTGAGACAAACTTCAATGATGGGTTATTTGTTCTTGTTGATTTGGAATTTGACACTCAAACGCTTGGTGGAATCAATAATGCTGCAATCATGCAGGACTTGTTGAACAAAATGCTTGGTGGAATCAATAAGGTTTGTACAAAACTCCTCTCTGATTCGAACTTGGTGGAAAGTTTGGCGTTGGCAGGCATCTGCAGATTTGTTCCAACTGAGAAAATAGAGTGGTCTGGAGACGAGGGAGAGATCATGAACATTGTGAAGGAGCTAAGAATGGTGAGTTTGGGTAATCCGCAGCTGTACAACTCGTACCTAAATCACGTTGGGGTAAATTGACGTGGCGTGTTCCTATTCGCCCCCATACAATCACAGAAGAAATCGTGGCCCCCTCTACGGGCGAGAACATGCAACCGAACCAACAGATGAGGACAATTTAGTCGTAACACCAAAAACTTGGACAAATAGTTCAACATACAACGTGCTTCCACCCCCTTCTATTGCTCCCATAAATGTTGTCAACAACCTAACACCCTAAAGCCATCTTCTTCCACAACTCTGTGAAATGTCTCTCTCGTTCTTCCACTCCATCCTCCGAGCTGCCGCGTCCAGGTGGCCGGTGTTTCTCTACATGACCACCTGGACGCTTCTTTTGTCAGTGACAGTGGCCGTGGCGTCTTTCTCTCCTGAGATGGCGTTCCTCACGGCGATATCACCCTTCTCTCCCTTAGCCAAGTCTTGCACCGGCGAGGGGTTTGTTAGGATACCCTTGGATTATCCGAGAGAGTCAATGTGCTTCCCGGCTCACATGATTCAGCGGTCGAGCTTGGATTTCTTCGTGCCGACGGTGTTTGCTGCCTTGATTGTGGCGGGTTCGGTTTTGGTCGTGCGGTCCTTGGGTTTGTGGGAGGGTGACAGACGCAGAGAGGTTGATCATGAATTGGTGTAGAGAAACCCAATTATATGATGAATTTCAGTAGAAAGACATGGTTTTTTTTCTTTCTTTCTTTCTTTCTTTGGCTGTGTTGAATGTTTGAATTTTTCTGATATCTGCGGGTTTCTGGGAAAGCTCAAAAGACCATTTCATACAATATTATTATCCAGTGTGAGCAGCTTCTAAATGCGCATAAGAATTTAATTAGCACAGCCAGTGAAAAAACTAAAATTTGACCATGACTAACTGGAATTTAGACATAAAAGTATATTTGTCTAAACAAATTTATATGATTTAGCAGCCTTATTTATAAGGGATTTTTTTTGTTGTTGTAATTTTTAACAAACGGTATTATCTACGCTAAAGGGGAGGATGTGAGTTAAGCCTCACAATGGACTACGAATGTAGTTCAAATTCGCATTTGGTGATAATTGAACCTCAAACCTCTCACTTATAAATGAAGAGAAATACAACTGCACTGTAATACTAAGTGGTTATAAAGGGTCATTAATGTTTTTTTTTTTTTTTTTCCTTTTAACAAACAATATTATCTACACTAAGGGATTGAGGAGTGGGCTAAGCCTCACACCCGGTTAGCTATAACAATATGGTTCAAACTCACATTTAGTGAAAATCGAACTTAAGAACTCTTACTTACAAGTAAAAAGAAACATCACTAGCTCGTAGTACTAAGGGGGCGTTTGTTTCACCTTCTTAAGTGGGATTGGACTGGCTAGGATTATTGTCCCATGTTTGGTAAGCTTGGGGACTAACTTAAATGAGACTAGCCCGGACTCGTGTGGACTATCTCCCTCGCTAAGTCGTCTTAGTGAAACCCCCCGAAAACCACGGGACTGCTAAGACCTGCTTCGTCTCCTTTGTGTAGCTTGGCGTCCTCGCAGGTCAAGAGCAAGCTCTGCCAGGTGGAGACGTTTCCGACGGACTCGCAGGTCAAGAGCAGGCTTTGCCAGGTTATTCTGGTGGTGCAGAGGGCGCAGGGCGATCCATTTTCGAGAGACTAGTTGCAGGCGGAGGCACCCAGCAGGACTCGGAGGCGTTGGGTGGGGGGAGGAAGTTGCCGGTGCGGCGGAGGTACTCGAGGTCGACGAGGCGAAGGCCCTGGATGAAGTACTGGCATCTGGTGTTGAGATCGTAACGGCGGCGGCTATGGGAGACCATTCCCTCATCTCAAATCCGAGAGAACTACGACAATATTCTCGGCACTGGGTTTCGAAGTATGGAACTGGGTTTCGAAGAAGAGGAAGAGCTTTCAGAAAAAAGAAGGAAAAAAATGAGTATGGAACTGGGTTTTGATTTGATCTCAAAGTGTGGAACTGGGCTTCGAAGAAGAGGAAGAGCTTTCAGAAAAAAGAAGGAAAAAAATGAGAGAAGTAAGAATAAAATATTAAAAGAGATATAGATAAATTAATATAATATTAGAATTTATTAATTATCCTACTTCTTAGTCCGACACTGCACCAAACGCTTCACTAAGTTAGTCCAACTTAGTCTAGTCTAAGCCAGTCCAACTTAGTCCCTGCAGCTAGTCCAGTCCGAGACAGTCCGGTGCAACAAACGCACCCTAAGTGTTCAAAGGTTATTTATGTTAACACTGTAATTATAAGACAATTGGGTCCATAGCTCAGTGGTAGAGCATTTGACTGCAGATCAAGAGGTCACCGGTTCGAACCCGGTTGGGCCCTCAAATATTTTAATGTCGTTCTTATTTTTATTGCTATTTACAGATAAATGCCCAATTTGATGATATGGAGTGGATTTTTTGACAATAAAAAAAATCCTTTTTGGATGAAATTTGCAAAGCATGATAAAATCACATGAAATGTGTAAACCCCCTCTACCTAATACTTTGTCACATGAAAATATTGTTTACCTACTTCTCACATTTATCATACAATATTGAAAAGACATATTTTCTCTGAGTTCAGTTGTGTACAAAAATTATAAAGATCCAATATTTTTTAAAGTAACTATTCTATTTTAGAAAGGGAGATTATTTTCACGCACCTATTCTTATTTCTAACCATCAAATTAAAGGTATCAAATGAAAACAATAACAAAGATCGAACATGAGTGTGTGTGATGTTAAAAAGGGTGTGTGTTTATCATTTGTCATTTACTAAATAGATATAAATCTTTTAAGTATGTATGTAAATGCACTCTTGAATGTAATCGTGTTTGCTTTAGTTGCTAGTTGAGATTTATACATAAAATATTGGAGGAAATTAATAAGGGTTTTTAGACCTTGAAACACACCAGTTGGAACCACTGAACTTGATCACTCAGGTTATTTGTTTACTTTTCATCGATCTACTTGTAATATCCCGTATTTAAAAAAATGATTATATATATGTGTATGTGGGTAATTATTTTTACATAATGATTTTATTAGATTTCTTTTATACAAGAACCTAGTTTCGATATGTAAATAGTCTCAACATAAAATCATTTTTGCTACAAAATTATTTCAAAAAACTAGCTAGTATTATTTCATGTTCGTATGTAATTAGAGATGTTTTTAGTTTGAACTGGAGAAGGATGATTATATGAGATTGGCTCGATAATTTTACCAAATAAGGGTGTATTGACAAGTTCATCATTATGAGTTAATGATTGGTGATTATTCACCATCTTAAATGAATAGGTGGGAGTCTTAGCATTGTATACGTTGGCATCTTGCAGGTGGCAACATCTTGAGGTTATTAGGAGTGCGCAAGTGAAGACATGTGTAATATCCAGAAATAGCAACAAGAGGGATGATTCCATTCCATATAAATTAATGAAGGAGAAGAGCTGAAAGGAAGGGAAGAACACACAGAAAAAGGAAAAACCTCCTCTCCCTTACACACCATTCTTCTCACTCACCAGTTATTTTACCTTATGTAAAGGCTCTAAACCACCTTCACAATATTTTGTAAATCTCTTGTACATAATGAAATCCAAATGCATATGCAAATCAATTTACCGAACTACAAATGATAGGAAGAAGATAGCATTAGAAAGCAAAGGAAACAAAAAATGGATGCTCTTGGTCATCATCACGTCAAGCTCACCATGGCCAACCCAAATCCTTATCTCTTTATCATCAACTTAGTCTCATCTTTCACATATCAAATTTCTACAAATCAAAACCACGACCTCACATATCGTCATAAAATACTATCCTACATATTTATCACCACCAAAGCTGCATTGCCAGCAAGAAGTTCGATGTATCAGGGACGCCAACCTGCAACGACAACGTGGCCTTTGGCCAGTCAACCTCACCAATGGGAGTCATGGCAGACGAACACGATGTCGTGATTAAGACTCGTACAACCAAGAAAGCTATATTCTAACAGAATTGCTCTATGGATTCCAAATGGGGTTACGTATCAATATCACCTAGAGAGAGATGGAGTAAAATGGTAAAGTAATAGTTCTCAATTATATTATTGTGTGTGTTATCAATACTTTATTATTGATAATATAATACAATTTTGCCTACTAACTATTTTGATTAGTTTTGCAGATTGTATGATTATTATAGAGTCGGCGATAATTGATATCTATATTACTTTGCATATACATAAGCATTCATGCAAAGTAAGAAAAAGAGCTGTGTTGTTGTAAACACAAATTTTCTATAGCAAATAACATAAGAACACGTGTACAAAGTAAATTTGTATTAATGAATTAGTAGGGTTAACAATCTCTGTTTACAAGTTTCCTCTTATTCGATCTCCGAAAGATGTGTAAATGTGTATGTTGTTGATCCAAGGGCTACGATGCCGATGACTTGGTCTTGAATGAACGGTTGCCGAGAGGTTTTGGCTCTAGGTGATTTGAAGGATCGACACGGGTAGTAGTGCTTGATGATTCTTTGAAGGTTTGGTGAAGAACGCAAAGAACTTTCTGAATTCTTCTGAGTATTTGGGGCTTTGGGTGCTTGAACTTTGGCAACATCTGGGTGCTAGAATGATTTTTGGATCCTTTTCTTTGTCTTGGAGCTTCAATATTTCTAGACTCTCCAAGCCTTGACTACGAATGGATTTGGCCTTGATTGTGGGCTTGATTAATTGACAAAAAAACCAAGACTCGATTTCTAGGCCGGTTCGTGATTTGACTCCATCAATTAATATTTGATTTAATTAAATTAAAATCAAATTAATTAATTAATTAATTAATTCCTTTCAGCCAAGTGTTGACACGTATCTCTCTTGATGACTCGTCCAATTTGATGAGTTACATCCATGTGTACAATTTGTGAGACACATGGCATATGCCACTTATGCCCTGACATGTCAAAACTTCAATGTGTTGATGAACATTTATTTTCTTGAAATTTTGATGTCTACAGTTGTGTCAAGTGCTCACTTGTGTTAAGTGTTTGACTTGTGAAGATATTCAAGGGCCGGAGAATGCCTTGAATATAAAATAATGAAATCTTGTATATGTCAGGCGTTAGGGGAAATGCTTAATACACAATTGGGCGTTGGTGGAAATGCCTTTATAATAAAGTGGAAATTGAGAATTTAATTCTGAAAAATTGGTCTCAAGGGGTGAACGGGAGTTAACTCATATTTTAAGGTATTCATAGTCAAGTGGTATAAGCATGATATGAGACGTGCAGGCTTGAGTGCCTTAGGTATGTGTTAGCGGAATTAGAAGGGAGTGAGTCCATGCATCTCATTTGCAATATATACTTTATGCATTTGAAAGAATTGTTACAATTTAATTATTATTTAGTTGGTAGTTTTGGTTGTAAAGTAACTTGTGCACTAATTTTTATTCCGATCCGTATTCGATAAATTTTGTGTTGTAAACTCAAGTGCAAATTTAGTTACAAATTTTAATTAATATTTTCTTTCATCATGTCTTGATTATAGAATTTATTTTCATAGCTATGATATGAATCACACCCCAGCTCATGAATAGTTCTTATTCGTGGATTGAGGCGTGACACTACCGTTGTTGTTATGCAATACTCACCTTGACAAGGCCAGAATTAACCTTTGCTGTCAAAAGTTGTTACGCAATACAACTTTTTCAGTCTCTCTCTACTTTCAACACAAATTGTGAAACGATTGAACATAATTTCTTTTTAGGAGAAATCCATTATGGAGATTTTGGTTTTGATTTTCTATCAATTCCTTTTTTAAATTCTACATTATTTCTCTTAATTTTGTCTGTTGATTCTTGTTTGTTTTATTCAACCCAATTAAAAACATTTCCAATTTTGAGGATAAAAGAAAATAGTCTCTGACAAAAAGGAAAAAAGAAAAATGTGGCAATCATCCACCATTCAAACGAAAAATTGAAAGTTGTAAATGTAGTCTTAAAACTTTCATAAGAGGAAAGGGCTTGTAGATGAGATAGTTAAAAGTGTTCATCTTTACCTTCAAAGTCTTGAGTTCAATTTTCAACCCCTCGCTTTCGTTCGCATATAAAACGTGATCTTACATGTTGGATAAGAAAATGCTTATTTTTTGCAATGCTCTTGAGTCTTGATAACTCACTCGTATATAATCATTTTCTCTTCTAGAACTCAAATTTGACAAGGTGGAACAAAAACCGATTTCTAGAGGGTTAAGTGGGAAGTTTGATTTCTAGGGAGAAAGTGAGACTAGAATCGAGCTCCAAGGGCATTGCAAAAAAATTTATCCATAAAAATTTAGAGAATGTCAGTTTTGTGGGGTTCAAACTTAAGTGGCAAAAAATTTGAATCCTAAAGAAAAAGGAGAGATCAGAATCGGTTATGAAGGGGCATTGCAAATGTAAACGCCAAGTGACAAACAAGGAACCAAAAAACAATAGTGAACCGGGGGTCCTTAGTGGCGAAATTTGAATCCCAAAAAAAAAAAAAAAAAAAAAAAAGGTTGGAGTTGAGTTGCAGGAGGCATTGCATGTAAGCGCCAAGGGCAAAACAAAGAACGAAAAAATAATAGTGGCTTCGCCCGGGTTCGAACCGGAGACCTTCAGTGTGTTAGACTGACGTGATAACCAACTACACCACGAAACCTTGACGGTCAGATTTTGCTTCTTTATATATATATATATATATTAAAACCACATAACCTCAATCCCTCTCTCATAACCTTCGGCCCCTCGCTTCAAACTACCACCTCCACTAGAAAGCCCTAACCCACCTCCACTAGAAAACCCTAACCCTCTCTCTCTCTCTCTCTCTCTCTCTCTCTCTCTCCACTTTCTCGCTCCTAGGGTTTCGTTTCTTGCTCTAGTCAAACAAGATGCAGGACCCTCTAAGCATGTCCCTGGACGACCTCATCAAGACCAGCAAGAAATCCGGATCCGGTAACACCCGAGGTCGCGGCGGCCGGGGGCCTTCCGGACCCGGACCAGCCCGCCGCTTGCCCAATCGAGGCGCCAATCGCGCGGCACCGTACGTGGCTGCGGCCAAGGTAGAAGCAAATCTTTGGCTTTGGCTCTGATCTGATCTTATCTTCTCCAATTGAAATAGAATTGAGTTAATAATAAATTTTGGGGATTTAGGCGCCGGAGACTGCGTGGCAACACGACATGTATGGGGATCTTGGGGCTGCGCCGTACGCGGCTCCAGCTGGAAGAGCCTCGGCTATCGAAACCGGAACCAAGCTCTACATCTCCAATCTCGATTATGGCGTTTCCAACGAGGACATTAAGGTAGCGTTCCCTGTTATGACAATTTGGATCTGTTTCTTTCGAAGCTGATTTCGATTTGTGATTTGTGAATCCATCAAAATTGGGGGTTTTTTAGTTATCTTATAGATTGTATTTGGATGTTGGATTTGAAACTAAAATTGTTCGAATTTAAATTCTTATTGTAATTGAAATTGAATTCACATCCATGTAGTTTTGATGGTTCAAGAATCGGTTTTTTAAGTCTGCGCGGCTTCGAAAATCCCTTTATTGCCTTCTTTCAACAGTCTAAGCAAATAACTAAGAATTCGAATCCGCATATTCGGTGTTTTATCTTTTGGACTGAATCAAAAGTTTGCTTTTGCTGCTACGATTCTCATTTGTACTGTTGCATTGTACAAATTTGATGGATTAGTGGGAGATCAAAGGTATTTATTAGTGGGTTTCTGGGTACAAATTTGATGGATTGGAGTTCGAGTTTTATTACATTTTACAATTTGAATTTCCTAAAGTCGAATTGTTATGTACAGGAATTGTTTTCTGAGGTTGGTGACCTGAAACGTTATGGAGTACATTATGACAGAAGTGGGAGATCAAAGGTATCTTGTCAAGTTTCGTATTATTGGTCCTTCTGGAGGATTTTTTGTGTCCTGCTGTAGTTTAAAACAAAAACCCTTTTCCATAGGGAACGGCAGACGTAGTTTTCTCACGACGAACGGATGCTGCGGCGGCTGTTAAAAGATACAACAATGTTCAACTTGATGGGAAGCCGATGAAGATTGAGATTGTAGGAACGAACATTGGGACACCTGGCGCCCCACCTGCGTTCCTGCCTGCTCCTAATGTAGCTTTTGGAAATCGGAATGGACCACCCATGGGGTATGTTGTGTACCATACTTTTTACTAAAGAATTAGCTCTCAATGATGTTTGCACTTATGCATAATTGGTTTTTTAGTAAATGTCTACTCTCTATGACTTAAAGGATAAGAGGTTATTTGCTTTATGATTGGTATAATAAGAAGCTCTTGGCAAATGTTTGGAATAAGAATGCATCAAGGCGCAAGTTTTGATTTTACATATGCCGGATGCTGTTGGCCTATTTAAGACCTTGCATTATTGGCTTTGGTCTATTATGGCTGTTTTGCAGGCCATATGTAGGGTCTCTGTGGTCGTATTGTAGTGGGAAGTTCTAGAATTTGTAGTCTTTAATATCCTTAATAAAGTTGTAGTTGAGAATTAGTGACTTCGATACTTATTTATTTAGATTAGAATGCATTTGTATGATACTTAAACTGATGTTCCATCATGCCTCGGTTACCCCTTCAAATATAGATGATGTTTTGTCTTGTACTTGTGTTTGAGTCATGAGATGTAGCAGTTGGGAAGACTGAACATATATTATTGTTGGATGTGTGAACGCATTATCTGTGCCACATATTAATTTATCTGAAGTCCTGATTGTGTATTTGTTGTGGTTGTTAAGCAGTGGACAAAGTAGGGGTGGTGCATTTGGACGTATACGTGGCGGCGGCGGTGGCGGTGGCGGTGGCGGTGGCGGTGGCGGCGGTGGCCGCGGTGGCCGTGGTCCTAGAAGGGGCGGTGGTGGACGTGGAAGTGGAAGAGGCCGTGGTGAAAAGGACCAAAAGGTTTCTGCTGAAGATCTTGATGCCGAGCTAGAGAAGTACCATGCAGCAGCAGAATCAATGCAAGAGTAAATTGAAATCAGCTGTGTGAAGCGTCGGCTATATTACATCTTTTATGGCTCATTAGGTCCTTGGTGATTTGACAACCTCATCTATTTTCTGTATTTCTATTGAAGCCGAAATTCCTAGAGAGAAAAATCATGATTAGGAACAGCTCTTAGAATCTTGCTTACGGATGTTGGGTGCTTATTATGTTTGTTTAAACATGGGTATGAAATATGTGAGTTAATGGACAGTTTCAGTACTTGAACTGAATTCCTACTTCATTAGCTTCTTCGATCCCCTTTTATACATTCAACAAGTTGGTGGGATCGGGAAGCTTCTCTCTCTGCATCTCCACACGCAAAGACAAAACTGGCTGCAGAACGTGTGAAAGGATTGAGCCTTAGAGAATTCACACACTGCTGCAATGTGTTTGGTTGGTTCTACTGCATGTAAAGTGGCGTACTTCGCATGAGGTAGATATCTCTGTTTTCCTTGGCTTTAAAGTTTTGTTAACTATTTAAGTTATGTCCTTTGTATTTGGTGCAGTTGAGCTGGTTATTTCCTGCTATTTTATGGTAGCTTTCTCTAATATCCTGCCCCAGAAAACGATAGTTTCCATGTTTAACTGGCATTGATCCTGACATTATGCGTATAGAGAAATTGTATGGACTAAACAAATAGCCGTTTCTACATGTAGAATTGGGTTACAGAAGTCACACCGATGATATTCAGAGATGTGCAGCCCCTTCAGGCTTCCTAGTCCTGGAAGGAGTTCCAGGTATGGCTGTCCTTTGACCGTCTTTATTCGGTGACTCGGTAAAGACAGTGGGGGTGATTGTTAATTCTGATTGTATTCTGTGTCAGAGTTAATAGTTGCTGCTTTGATTGTGAACATCATTGTGTTGCCTAGATCAGTAGATTGCATTGGAGCATGCATGAATCCGATTCTATCATTCCATGGTTGGAGTTCCATATGCACTATGGAATATGATTGGTTTTCCGTCCAAGCGACTGGTTTAACCTAGTCGAATTTTGAAATAGGAATTCTTATTTTCTGCTATGATTTTCCTTTTCGTGTTTGGTTCATGAATTCTAAAAGTAGCTCTCTGCATGCCATTTGAACTTTGTAAATCTTTATAAGTTTTGATGTCGGAATTCATATAGGTATGTTCGATTCATTTTTGTCTTGATAGTCGAGTAGAATTAGGATGCTAGATAGCGAAAGAGAAATGGCGAGAGACAGGGTTCATGCGCCGAACAAAATCCCGGTTTCCAAATTTAACACATCACTTTCCTATGTTGTGTACTCGTATCTATCTCTTTTACCATGTGATTATTTATGTGATCGCAGAGGGAGTATGCGGCAAGTGAAGAGTTTATCTATCTCGTATTAGAGGAAAACCCCTAGGGAGACAAAACTTTTCCAATATCTAGCCGTGCAACCCAGTCTTGCGCGTCCGAGTTGGAAAAACACTGCTAATTCTGCTAGGGGTGGCCACGAGACGGTTTGGCCGGTTCCATTCCGAAATCACCTAGTGAACCGCCAACTTGATCAGTACGCCACATTTGATAACGTAGCCTTTCATGTTTTTTTTTTTTTTTTTTTTTGGAGCAAACGATATTGATTATGTTAAGGGAGAGGGAGGATTTAACCTTACAATGGGTTAGCAATAATGTGATTCAAATTTACCTTTGACAAGAATCAAATCTAAGACCGCTTACTTACAAATGAAGAGGAATTTGAATGCATGGCCGCACGATTCTTTTTTGATTTGATTTCCTGTTTAGAAACGTATTGCCGCGACGTTTTAGTAGCGCCATAAAGTGTGTTACAACTCGTCGTTTTCCACCGGTTTTGTGAAGTTGTACAGAAACTCTCAACGTTATCTTCTCTTATGGATCGTTTATATGGTTCAGCTAGTTTCAAGGGGAAAGCTCACACTGAATAGAATCCGGCGAGGAAAAGCAGATCAAAAGGCAAACAAATACTCCAAATGTGAAACATTCAACCAAACTGAGATATTGTTTGCAATCTAATTTAGAAGAAACAAATTTCAATTCCCCCGAAAGAGGGCAAGAAGGGAACAAAATCACATACACAATGCACAACAAACAACTTTGAGCTTGGGTTCCTACTTCCTAGGGGTTCAGTTTTACCTTTACAGGAAGCTACATCCTTCGAAATTCGCATCATCTAAAACTTTGGCCTTCTCAGCTTCTCCAAACTTGAAAAGATTAATCCCAAAACAGAGTACAATACTGCCTTCACGCAATCCATTACAAAATTCCAACAAGAAGCGGGCCAGTACCATGGATATAGCAATCGGAAGAACAGGCTTATAACATGCCGAGGATATCTGCCAACCTGCACCATGGAATAAAAGTTAAATGTCCTGCACCTGCTAAACAAAAGGGGTTAGAAGTTATCTAATCACAGGTCCGTGGAAAACACTGGTAAGTCCTTGCAGACGATCCATCTGAAGCCACGACTACTGTGGATGACTTCTAAAAGCATCATGTAAGGTCCTATAAGTTTATTCTATCAGAATTACGGTCAGCAAATTAAGAATAACGATCTCCGCTTTGCTCACATCCAACCGGAGATGGAACGATTGGCAACAAATTACTTGATTTAGATACTAACAAAAGCAGCAACTAATGGTGTTCCAAGCTTTTCTTTCTGTTACATGCATGGGTAGGATTCCGTCTCTCTTTAAAAGTTGTTTCTTCCTGCTTTGGTTGGGGGTTAGCAGCATAAAGATGGAGATTACTAATATAATCTGTATCATATTTAACAGAACGATTGATAACAAAGATGATAACAATATATGATTGTAGTAAGACTGCAGTAAAATATAAAGTTTAACAAAAACTGTTAAGGGAATAATATACTCACGGGGAAAAGCAAATCTAATGCATCCCATGCCGCATGACGAACAGCTCTTGTGGGGTACATTGGACCTCCAGGAGAAGTGAAGCTATACAAACACGCCTTTAACCTCGTACTTGTGGCCATTCTCAGCTCCATTCCTTTTAGATTAAAAATACATTAACCAGAATACAATGCGACTAAACTATAATACCAGGTTCACATGATTCCTTAAATCTTAAACCTGAAAAAATGGTTAGAATATTACCCTGGAGAAGTTTTATGTGCAAAAGGTAATGCAGCAATACTGGTTCCACCTTCAGTTTTTGAAGCTGACCAGTAAAGATACACGAACTTCATATTAAATTGTTAATTTATAAATATCACTGCAATGTGGGAACGAAACTACACATAAGTTCTACTGCGTAGAGTGTTTTGAAATTTACCTGATCTGCAAGTTCAATAACAAAGAAGTCTGCTGAACTACCAACCAGAAAAGCGTTGGGAAAAAGAGGAAATGCCCTTAAGAAGCTGTCGAGCTTGTCAACTGCATGAATCAACACGTTACTGGAGAATTTATAAATTCTTGATTGAGGGGCAGAAGTTGCATTACCAGAAAACCCACCTGAGTTATAAAAAAATATAAACCTCGAGAGTAAAAGAAATAGATCTCGCTGGACCTGAGAATTAATGAAGAATTCTAAAGTTAATTTAAAATGCTGCTTCTACATAGATATTGGTTCCTCAATCACTATCATTGTTAGAATGACAGTTATCCACACCAAGAAAAAAAATTTCCTGTAAAACTGAAAACGGAATTTCTGACCTGTACAGGAATTTTATTTAACTGTTTGGGCTCCAAAGCAACATCCTCAAGCAGATACTGGAGCACAAGGTGGGGTGAAACAACACAAAATGTGATACATATTTCATACAGTTCTTCAACAAAAGCAAATAAATTTCACAGTTAAAGGGGCTCTTACACGAAAGAGGGATTGAAATCGCCTTGCATTTGATTGCGTATCAATCCTGCAAAAATGCATACAGTACATTGATAAGCTTGTTAGAAAAAATGGAACAAAAAGAAGCAAATTAAACCTTGGATGGGGGAATTTCCATTCCAAAAAAGGAACAAAAGAACAAAATTCATAATCCAAAGTTGTCCTTTTGTCAGTATATATGGATAGGAGGAGCAGCAGCAGCCAAAAATAAAAATACATCATGTTGAGTAAGAACAATGGGAATGAAGCAGATAGACCATTCAAAATGTCCACAAGAGTTTCTTTGGTAGGATACTATGAAACTGTCACGCAAGGTTCCTTAAAACAAGTTATTTCTATCTCTGCTGCTTTTAAAATCGAAGACGCATAATTTAATTGGACAGAACAAGCAGTACCTACCTAGCACCATGTCATGGAGGAACTGACAACTGAGAATACTAATAACATAATATATAAATATACATATATAAGGATAAGATACAAGAGATTCATTTTTTCACATAGTATCATCAATCATGGGAGTCCCGTTGAAAAGTGAATAGAAGGCACTAAGAATTCAATACGACATCTATAACCAGTCGTAAGTCCAATCAACCATTAAAAATCAACAAGTTGATACACGCTAATATTCGTACCAGAAAACATTTGTTGCACCTTCAACAAGAGCAGATGAGTAACGAAGAAGTACTTCAGGGTTGTCAAGTTGGACTTCAAACAGCTGGTCAAAAAAAATTATTAAATACTCTCGGCATCACAATGGCATAATCAAGACAAAAGAGTGAAGAATTAACAATCAACTTTAAGTATGTGAACACAAACTTCATTAATCGAATGTCTGAAAACCAACTGTCACTCATTTTGAACAGAATTTTGTATACGAAGGATGTTGTTAATTCCCAAATCAATTTTGATGAGTTTGACAAATTGTCAAAGCCATTCTACATGCTTGTCCAGTTTAAGAAACATAATTTACGGCCTTTTGGTGCATCCACGTGATATCAGGTGAAAGCTCCAAAAGGTAAACAGAATTAAAGACAAAATTATATTCACAAAACAAAACCAGCTAGAAGAGATTTTGCATCCTGAATGGCAACTTTTAAAATTGAATGGAAAAGATCAATACACTGGGTGCGAGTTTACATACCCATTTGTGGAACAACAAGGCAAAAATATGAGATGCAAATGACTGGCTCCATAGTTGGACAATCAAATCAAGGATGCGTTTTCCACTCTCAGGCACCCGAACATAATGATCAGTGAGCACATCGTAAAAGCATAGCTGTCCTTCAATGCCATCTTCAGCAGGAGAAATTGCATCCTCTTCCCTGCTGAGAATCATTTCTGACATGCAATTTGAACTCCAAAAATGAGAACACCAGTCATAAGGATTGCATGCAAAG